CTCTCTCTCTCTCTCTCTCTGTTCCTTTGACGGATGAATCGTTCAACCGTTTCGTTTTTTATCCTTGAGACGGATACAACTTCCTCTAGGTTCTAAAAATAATTTTTAAGAACTTGTTTTCTACCTTGAGTCGGTATGCTGTGAATTTTTCGAACTTTTTTGCAGGATTGGAAGAGAATCCTTTTAAAAGTGAGAAAGGAAGCGCGAAACTTGAAATTTAAAGCGAGATGAAGAAGAAATTTCGAAATTACAAGTATCAGGAACTTTTTTGTTGTCCTCGAGAGAAACTTTTTCTTCTTTCCCTTTTAACTACTTCGAAATTCTTTTTTTAAGCGAAATTTAAGTGGAAGAAACTGGAATTCAGCCTATGGCGGAAGAAGACCTTGAGAAGTACGAGAAGAATTGAATTATTGAAGAGAAAAGAAGTAACCGAGGTATCCGGAGTCGACTCGAGATAGCCAGACGCGAAAATCGACAACCCTTCTCGCTACCTCGTAGACCTTGGTGAATTCCAACCCTTATTCAAATTAATTCTACCATTGTATTTTGTAATACCTCGTAAGATGTTATCTGTAGCGGTTACAGTTTTAAGGCTATTCTTCCCTCGCTTTGTGACAATTATTCGACTCTTATTTTTAATAATCATACTTTTAACGATATAATCATATTTTGCTTCGCCTCTACGTTCCATCCAATACCATCCATTTCGCTATTCTTTCATCAAAATTCCCTGGCAGATCCATCTTTTTAACGTCGGTACTCCCACGTCCTTTATACTCGTACTAATCGCCTCGCCATCCGTTTCATCCTTTAATCCCACGATTTTAAACGTGTCACGAGCCCTGTAACCTGTCCCTCCAGTCGTCGAATCACCGTGTTTAACGTAATCACCGAGTAGCGGGCGTCGTTGTAACGTGGTTTCCACGTTAATTTCACGACCTCATCCAGGCTGGAACGTCGTATCCCGGTTTACCGTGATCATCGTTTGCCGTAATCCTTCGCCTTCGATCGGTCCAGGTTAAACGCACCATCGACGAAATTTAGTCGATTTGGCTCGCGGAATTTCTTAGCAAGTTTCACGCAAGATTTACGAAAAAGGTCTGTTCCTCTTGACGATTCTACTTTTCCTTTTATTTCTATTTTTAACGAGTTATCCCTTCAACGAAATAAATCGCCCTCTTCTTTCACGAGAAAAAAAAGATTTCCTATGGTTTTCTGACTTCCTCTCTCAACGTTTTATTCAACATACGACTTCTTGTCCATTTATCAAAGATTCACCGGGGACCTTCAGTTTCTCGTATCTTTTTTCTACCCACGTGTCTCTTGTATCTTGTTCAACGTCACCATTGTTCATGGACCTCTTAGCTATCCTAGTAGTGGTTTTACCCTTCGTCGGTCGTCGTTGTAACGTAATACATGTCTTTCTGTATCCGCTTTCCTATTTAAAATAACAGATATTATACGGGAAACGAGAAGAATCTAATTTTTTTGTCCGATGCATATTTCACGCGATACTTTCGTAATTCAATTTAAATGTAATTTCGATACTGTAACATTGTTTGATCTCATACGATTTGTTTACTCAAGCTTCTTTTTTTATAAACGCGTATCAGTTCGAATTACCAGTATTTTGATTTGTACGTAAAATGTAGCAGGTTTATATTTCTGATGACGTGATGCACACGAGCGTGCGATGTAGCTATTCCTAATATTACTATTTGTATTATATTACGCGCGTAATAGCTGGATCGCACGCTCGTGTGATTTGCATCGTCAGAAATATAAAGCCACGATTGCAATTTCCATGGCGATAACCGAGATAACGGAATATTCTACAGAAGTAACGGTCTACGCGTTTTATTTCGACGAAGATTACGTCGAGATCAGAGCCGCCAAGTCCAATTAGAATTCGAAGCAAATATCGTTTCTTAAACTGGCGAAAGTCACACACGAAATTCCGAGAAGCGCAGCGAAATTTCTCTTTACTGTCCCGTTGCATCCAGTGGTTGGATCTTCGAGTTTAAAGTAGATAAACCTGGCTTTGGAATCGGGTAACACAGTTGAAGATAGCATGGCGAATAAAACGAGCAAAAATTACAGAGAAACGTCAAAGAGGAAATTATGGAGCAACGACGATGTAACCTGGGCTACCGTTTATCTACGATTCAAGTTTCGAGCAGAGGATATCGCAGATTTTCAACGAGCTTATTAATATCCTGCAAACCTAAATCCGACGAAGTATGGCGGGTAAATTTCGATAGGAACTCGTGAAGCGTTTACCGGGCCACTCGAACAACTTCGGCTAATTCCTTCGCTCGATTTTCCACCGGCAAGCGCTTGATCCTTGTTATTAATCCGATAATAAGAATCTGATTGGAAATGAGCGGGACGAATGGGGACAGGATGGCTTACAACATTGTTACAGGAATTTAATCGAGTTCGGGACGATTCGATGCTAAATTAGATAAGAGGAATTCGTAACATCCCAAGTTTCTCACTACCTATAATTACTAGTGGCACAGAGGAATTCCAAACTTTCCCTTCCTTTTCTCCAGAATAATTTTCTTAACTTTGCTTCATTTCTATAGCCGATCGTCTTCGCAAGATATTCGTTACGATAAAAAGAAAAAGAAATAGGTAAACATTTCTTTTGTATATATACGAAGAAACTGCTACATTTTCTACAGAAAATTTGCCGTGCAAGTATTTGTCCAAGTTGTCGCGGATTCGATCGGCTTCTCGTTATCGCGTAGAAGGCGAGACGACGCGGGTGCAATGTAAATCGAAGCCACACGCGACATCGAAAACGTGACGTAATCATCTCCGCCTACTCGCGCTTTCGAAAAGTTTCTGCGTCTGTCGTTCGTCGACGAATCACCTTACAGACGAGCATTCGTATCCTCGCAGTCGATTCGTTTAATTTTCTAACCTGCGACAGAGTAGAGAAACGTCGATGATTTTTGTACGATACGTAAAGAATATTCTGAGAGTGTCTGAGTAATAACGTCTTCTTCTACCGATTACAGTGGCTGGAAGAGTATCGTATCGAGGCTGTTAGGTTAGTACAGTGAATGGAGCTTCGCGAAAGGTAAGATAGAGCGGAGTTGAAACCCTTAGGAAACAGCGACAGGATACTGCGACGAGAATAGAAACGAAAGGACGTTGGAGGACGGATGAATAATTCATTTTAACAGGCGACCGAATTTCCTCGCGAATTAACATTCGTGAAACTTTGTCACGGTTTTAGAAACGTTTTCTGTCATCGAGGTAATCGGTAACAGATATATAAATCTACCACGAATACCCGAAACAATGGTGAAATAAAAAGCTGAACAGTTCGAGAAATTGCACGATTTCCGATCGAATTTTTCCAAGTTCGCTATAATTCAGCTGGCACCTGCATTGAGAATTCTGCTATTTCAGAATCGTCGAGGATGTAGCAGGAATTAAGTCGTGCGATTTACGTCGTTTGGAGATGGAAGAACGAAGCGGCGAGAAAAAAGTATCGAACGGAAGAAGTTTCGAGACTCGAAGAACTCGCTGAGACTTGAAAAAGTTCAAGGTACTTTGCGCGAATTTATCCTCGGAATTTCTGGCATCTTCTTTCTTTTTTACGTAAGAACAGAGAAGATTGGTAATCCGCGGTAACACTCGATATCTCGCGGTTCAATTCGTCGCAGGAATCAGAAATATTGGAATTTGGGATTAGAAAATTATATTTGTTCGATTTGGTCATTTACTAAACATTTGGCTAAAGATTTGTATCTAACCAGGTCCATTGTTAAAATTTATTCAAATAAACCCCGTGAAGCTTGTAAAGCTATTGATCGTAAAGCAGTAACGTTTAAATAATTAAGTAACCCGAAGGAAAGAATAAACAGAGCTCTTTGAAAGCTTTGGAAAGGGAAGAGAAATTACGAGAACCAAGTTTTCCTAATTACAGCTATCCTTCAACGAGTAGTTTCCGCCATGGCCGACTTTTCAATTTCATTTCGTATCAATGTGGAGCAACGATACGGCTTAACGGTTTCGTTTCGCGGAGAATTTCTCTCCACAAACTTGTTCCTCAATTAATAATTCAACATCTCTGTTTCATCGCGATACGTTCAACTATCGAAGAATCTTTAATTCGTCGCGTCCCGTCACGTGGTGTATCTCTTTCTACTGCGTTTTCTTCCCTATCTTTTCTTGTCTTCTATTTTCTTTTCTTTTTCTTACCATTAAAGCTACTGTCAAGAAATCTAAGGAGTGTAATTTTTACGCAAATGGTTCGCCTGATCGTTTCTACAAACGTTTAGCTCCGTACAAATATGAATTTTGCTGTGACGAGAATTTTCTCATACTTTGCTCAAACTTCGGACATCGTTCGACGTTAGAAAAAATATAACTCGGTTGAAAACGATTAAAGGAACGCGGTAGAGCTAAACGTGAACGCTCTTTCACTTTTTCTATGCGTCTGTTTGTGAAATACGGTGAAATAATGGCAAACACGCGGATTTTTAAACAAAACTATGGTACAATGGACGGCTGCTTATCCATCTATTCCGTCCATTTTTCATGAACAATCGCGATCAGTGACGCGACATGGATCGCTATAGAAACGTTCCGGCTAACGAAAATCGCGTACACAATGTAAACCGAGCGAGCCACGCGAAAATAATGCTATCCGTGACTGATCACGTACACAGGCGAACGGCGAATCGATAATCGGATCGGTGATCGGATAACATGCTGCCTGTGCATGCGGAGAAACATAACACGCTTTCACACGAGACGAGGCAGTTATAATAGAACACGTAAAGGGGCGAAATCCGAAAGTATTTTTTATTTCAGAAAATAACTCGAATTAGTCGAATCGCGAAGAAGTGAAACTGCGATCGATCGAAGCCCGATATCTAGTTTCATCTCTAAGAAATTAAACGGTAATCGCGTATTCAAATTAATAGCCAAAAGGCAAACTTCTCGCGAGTTTAATAACGATGGATTAAAATTAGAAATACCTTCTCGTCCCTTGTCACGAGTTGAATGGCGACAGCAAGAACCTGAAAACACAGAAGAGATTTTGTTATTTCCAAAGCTAGGAAAAAATATTTGTATTTTTAAAGGACTATGATTCACCTCCATAGTATTTTATCTTTATCTAATGTTCTATGATAGAACGTCTCTGCAGACCGAATAAACCTCCTCTTGGAGAAGCATTCAGAGTAAATTCATAAGAAGATCGTTCCAAGCACAATGTCAGCATCCATTCCGATCCATCTACTTTCAATTCAGCGAGGCCCGTTGCTACAACATTTTTCGCTTTGCAGGACGACGCGTCGGGCGTTGCGATGCCGCACCACCGTTCGTGGCGCAGGTTTTCGCGCGATCTCGATGTGCAATCGAATTCTATTCTGCTAACAGCCCTCTTTCACCGAAATAAATTTTTCTCCAGCTTGTGCTCTTGACTCAATGAACGTATCTCGCACAGAGAGGCGTTACGTACGAGTATGACATCGAATAGAATTTTATATTTGGACTGTGTTTAGAAGAGTTCGTTTTAATTGTTGCATCGTTAAGTGCAAGATAAAAATGCAACGTCGGATTAAAACAACAGATCGATCTTATTTACTCGTATTTCCTATTTAACGAGTTACAGTTACTTTGTGGTTAGATAGAAATTTATAGAATATCGAGCAGATAATTCAACGAATAATTCGCTGGTTTAACGAAACTGTCGCAGCTGAATTATATTTCGAACAAACGAACGAATTGCGTGTGGCATTAATAAAGAAATATCTCGTGTTGACGGATAAATGGAAATAAATCCTGTTGTACGATCACGCGAGACTAGCGTGTTGAAAATATTCACATGGAAAGTGTAAAAATTAGGATATCAGATTTTGCTTCACGATTTTCAACATGTAAATTATCTCGTAACTAACGAACTATTTATCTAACGAGGGTACTCCAACGAACAATTTTCAAACACTCGCAGCCGAAATAAAAGTTTTGTTTGCAGAAATACACAGAATCGTATAGGACGCGTGAAACAAACGTTGCAAGACTCCATTAAGGCGAAGAGATCTGCAAATCGGTTGGTATAATTTTCTTGCTATCCTCTCGAAATCTACGCAACCTCGAAAGTTTGTTACGTGGAATTTCCTCGAACGATGGGCCGCCATTGATGCGACCACGTTTACTGCACCGATGTTCGTTGTTCGCGTTAATAATTATCGATCGGCCATGTCAGAAGTTAAACGAACAAGCCTGCAACGTTCCTTTGTGAGGCAGCTAGCGAGTTCCGCTCGGCCAATCGGATCAACCCGATCGCGCATCCCTTGCTGTATGCACGATGAATATTTATTTGGCTCGATATAGAGAAGAAGAGAACGAGAGGGAGATAGAAAAGAAAGAAAGAGAGAGCTTGATTCGTTTGGTCGTCAATCGGTTTGATCTCGTTCGCTCGATTTCAGCCACAGCAAGAACGATTAATCTCGTTCACGATCGAACCGAGCGGATTCCAGCCTCGAAAATGCAGATCCCTTTGAATTTTCCACGAAAGCCGAATTTATTTTTATTCTTCTATCTGTTTCGTATTTTTCCTCATTTTGTTCTTCCGCCTTTCCTTCTTGTATTCCTATTTTTCGAGTTTCTTTTTCCACTTGTTTTGAGTTTTCACGAGTGATTCTGTGGACGAGAATCGCAGCGCTCGTTAGTAAGGGAAATATTCATTTTCCGTGGCACGAAAATAGCCCCGACGTTTTGCGAAACCCGGTGAATAACGCGGTGGGTAGAGTTTCCGAAAACGCGCTTTAGGTTAACGCGCCGGAATTATAGCCACCAGACTGACCCAGCTTCGTTTCATTAAAAGCTGTGATAATGACGAAGTACGATACATACGTAATTCGTTGAATGGCGGTTTAAACGTTTGAGTTTGTAGAAATCGCGCGCACTTCCAGCCAGCTACGCTCTTAGCAATATCACAGGGGAAAAACCTTCCTTTTACACGGTTCTTTCTGGAATTTAATCTTTCTAACTTGTCGCGAAATTAATACTTTTGAACGAAACAACGAAAGAACGTAATTGAAGGAAAGAAGAATGTAACTGATAGAAAGAAAGAATTCGTTTGACGAGAAAATGAACATCGCGTCGTGTGACTTCGATACCGAAATAGTAATCTTATACGAACAACTATTTCCTATATACAAGCATTGCCAATCCTTCGAATACGACATATTGAGAGCGAATGATCGAACTATTCGTATATTAACTATCGACTGTAGTCGGTGTTCCGTTTGTTTCGAAGCGGAAATGGTCGGACGTTCCACGCAATATCTGCTGACAAGGTCGTGGGATTCCCTTTATGCTCGGTGGAGAGAACGACCGATACTTGGTAACTGTGCTTTGAACACCCACAAGGGTCTATTACGATCAAGAACCGCCAGGCGGAAGGTACACTCGCCGAGTTTCCCGGCGGCACCATTTGCGGGACTCCTGGACAGCCCGTGTACGTCGTTGGGCTCTGCTTTTAGGATGGCGAAATGGATCCCTTCCCGACGAAGGGAATATTCGTCACGCTGCCATATCGATCGGTACAGCGACTTACGAGGCAATTTGTGAAGGGACTATCGTTTTATGAATCAGAACACGTACGCTATAAGTGAACATCGTAGCTACGATTCAAAATTTCCCGTGTACAAATCACCGAATACAAGAGAAATAGAAGAGAAATCTCGTATCGTTGATACGAGATTTTTCATTCTTTTTAGTCGTCGATCAAGAGCAGTGTTTGTTCGAACGTTTCATCGTTTTACAGAGATCTACGCACTTTTCGAGTAACCTAATACTTTTCCAATGGATAACGACTCGTCGGTGATACTAAATACTTGCGATCGTCGAGTACATGGGAACGATAGAATGGAAAAAAAATCCAGAATAAATTTGTTTCTGTATTAAAGCTTCGAAAATCGTCTCGGCTTAAAAACGGAACTCAGGCAATTAGAACTCGCGGTACCATCCCTGTCGTCGTCGTTCTACCTTTAAAACATGATCGATTACCTGGAACGTCGCTTACGAACTCCGTTCGCCTCTGTTTCTCGACCTACATCCTCCGTCGTGCCCAAGTCGTTGCAACGTCTACTGCTGAATTTATTCCGACAACCGAGATCGAGCAAACGCGGACAGACTCGTTCGCTTCGTTGAAAGCGATCCAACGCAACCATCAGAATCCTCTGGAGATCGGAAGCAGATGGGATCGAAGCACGCGAAATACACGCGGAACAGGATAAATCCTTGTAAATATTTGAGCAACACCCGCGCCAAATTTCGGGGTTAATTCAATCTGTGTCAAATCGCAACAAGTACGAAGGAAACATTTATACGCTGTGATGAGATCCATTCAGCGGATTCGCGTTGCGCCTGACATCCTGACGCGTTACGTAAGCGAGAATTTGGTAAAAGAGAATTTCCTGATATTTTCGAAATCTCGAAAGCGAGAAGTAACAAGCGTCAATTTGCCTTGGTAAGCTTCCAAAACGAGGATGGACGACGAAAGATGGAACGAGGTACGGTTCGTCGAGTACATTGGAATTCTGGCGGAAACTGTCGTCAGGTTTTGAGGCCGGTGTAGTTGCATCCGCTACGGTGTATGGAGGAATACGCAAGGAAAACAGGGGATGCAACGAACGGAGTAACGTATGGTAATGTTGTAGCCCGGTTGCCCTGGCCTTCTGCCACGAAACTGTTGAAACATCGTTCCTGTCTTTGCCCTTGCTCACCCGTCTTTTCCACAGACCATGTATCATCCTGGAACTTTCGTTTCGCTCGCCGATATTCGATCATCCTACTTTCTCCATCGAACGCTGACCCAACCGAAACGTATTTTTTACCTCTTAAGATATTCTTCCATTTTCTTTCTTTTGATCTCACGTCTAATTTCACCACTGTTTGTTCGTTTTTTGTCCCTCCAGAGGAAACGCTCCAAAATAAGCGCTCGCCCCAGTCGGTTAAAACATTTTGATCCAGTCTCTTGTAACGCTTTGAATCATTCTGTTGTAACAGTTTGAACCGTCACTCTATTGGATTTGCACAATAAATTCTGTTATCATATATAAAGTTCAATTTCTTCACCTTATTCGTGAAACGTTCGAACCGCGACGCGAGGAGATCACCGGCGATCTATCGGTTTCGTGATTTCTTGTGTCTCCAACGTGACACTAGCAATTCTATCTCCTTCTCTTTGGCTTCTCAACTCACACTTCCTGACTTCTCAACTAACATTGACTGTTAATTCGTCTTTCTCCCTTTGTCTTAGCCTCACCACGCACGTGTCCCGCAACCGCTCGTGGCCAGGATCACGCAGTGGATTTTCCGCGTAACTATTCGATCGAAGGACTGACGACACATCTTTGAGCCTGTTGGCACTTCGGCTTTCTCGCGACATCGTTTATGGTTCACCACCGGGTGATACCGATGTCTTAGGCCTTTCGTCCACCATACTACTAATAATATATAAATCCACGTATATCTTTTTAGTTTCCCTCGGTGTAAATCTCTTTTGTCGCGAGTGCAGAAAGGTCAGCACGATTTAACTCTTGCATTATTAACATCCTATGCGAACAGCCCACTGACTTTACACCTCAGTTCGCACGAATGAACGATAGAAATAGCAAGGAGTTGGAGGAGAAAAAGCAACGAAATTTTTATTCGAATAGACTCGATACCTGAAGTCACGCGTTTATTAATTTTAGATAGATCTTAATCGAATATCGTATAAATAACTGTGAATTTGGTATTTTCCATCTTTTTTCCCAGCAAAAGATAGTTACCTTCCATTAGATATATTCCACTCTTCTACGTACAACGTACGATAAACTGTTCCATTAACGTATTAAAAGAAAAGAGCGTTTATTGGTCGTGCAAAGGGTTTAATCTCTTAAAAAATTCCCGGCCATATTCATTAAAATAATGGCGGAATAAATTAACGGCGACAGGAACGATAAGCACTTAATTAGTACTTGAAAGGCCTGGGGCTTTTTAGAATAAAATTCGATTAAAAATCCTAACTACTTGGTTTTTTTGTTAGGTCTTGGAGATATTTTGACACGTGTCTCCAGCGGGAGTCTCCTCGCGCCGCCAGACTCCTCTTGATGAATTGATTTTCCGTTCCGAAAGACGGCACGGTACGATAACGCTGCCAGATCGCAGCGACGGCGTCGTTCACCGTGTCGTTGGAAATGCTTGTCGCGTGCTGGAAATGACATACTCTCGTGGAATATCGATCATCGACGCTGACGAGGAAACCAACAGTGTCGTCGATGATAACGCGTGGAATAAGCATCGGCCAGTGTTTCAAATTTTATTGTTCGTCGCGACGTGATTGTCGTCGGTGCATTTCGAGCCTTCGCCGTTTAAATGGCTCTTTGTCGTTGTGTTGTAGGAAAATTAAGAGCTTTCTCTCTGTGTCGTACGACCACATGGTGTATTTGTTTCAACAATGCAGGGATTCTGATCTACGCAAACGAATGTTCCGCTGTTTCCATTCCATAATCTACGCTGTACATTGTTTTTGTCTAGAATTATCAACGATCAACGTGAAAAACTTTGCATAGTCGCGTATTGTCTTATTTAGTTTGATACATTTCGTTGAGTAATCTCATCGTCGTTTTTAAAATACCAGTTTATTACCAGTAACAGTGAGTACGAGGAATTTGTAATTCTCTCGAACGCACAAACCCAGAAAGATTCTAAAAACCACCGTTATTTGTCGTTTAATCCGCGTGACTCGATTGTGACGCGAATAAATTCGATGAAACGACGTTAACTCGGCAAACAAACGCGAGAGACGCGAAAAGTACATTTTTAAACGACAGCCATACCGATTTATAAACTCATTTTCTCGTCACGAGCGCCCGAGAGCATAGCAAATATTTACACGACCGTCGTAAACGAAAATATTGAATCTTCCACGATGAACCCCGCCGAAGAGTAAACCGTGTGAGAGAGGCACGATAAATATCGTTCCGAGCGGCTGAAATATTTCACAGGCGTAACAAAAATCGCGTCGGAACGACGCCAACGGCCGAAGCCAAGTCGGCGTCGTCGATCGCGTAAATCGTCGCGATGGCGGTTGTTCGCGTGCACGACGCTATGCAAGCGAGGGATCGCCTCGAGATTGATCGTTCCTTTCATCGTCTGTGCTAACGTTTGCGTGATCCACTTCGTTTTCAATTAACATTTTGTCCGGTCTACGCGTTGCACGTCAGTCTCTTCCAGTAGATTTCCACTAACTTTCGCTTTCTAAAATCGCCACGCCAATTCTTTCTTTTACAAAAGTACTATCGTGGCGTGTGAAATTGAAAACTTTTTTCTAACGTTTCTTCGAACCTTTTGCCATTTAAGGTGTGTAACTTTACGATTATTGTTCCGGAAAACTTGTTTCAATTACTGAAATAGCTTCTGCAGGGATGTATAGAGTATTCGAATGTGGAGTATTTCATTTGTCACGGAGGAAAGTATGGTAAAGCACGGAACGGAGAAGGAAGAATGTTTCGTATCATTTAATTAAGAATTTTTCTTTCATCGCTAACTTAATTTAGTTTGAAGAAACCGATCTCATATTTACCGAAACTAGCCCGTTAACTCGTAAAATGGTGCGGCAGCAGGGCGAAGCATCTCCTGCAACGCGATATTACGTTCTTTGACGAGCTGAAGATTTTCTAGCCAGCGTCTTTTCATAAGATAAAGCCAGGGATCTTTGATGGGACCTTAACTCGAGGAAAAAACTGTGCATTACCGTGAGAGTGCCTTGTTTCAGGGTCTCCAGAGGAGCTTGAGGCAACGTGAAAGATTAAAATTCTTTATTTCAAACGAATCATCTCTCGTACTACCATTTCGCAAAGTATACTTCCACGTAATGCTGACTTTCCTTTTCGAGATCGAGAGAGCCCGATGTAATTATACTACGTTCTTTCGCTATCGGGAAACTTTTACGTATTACGTATTATTTCGTACCACGCATTTTTCTCAATCCTTTGCAGCAGATTCCAAGTGGCAAAGGTCAGGACAAAAGCAACAAACTAGAAAGTCCACGACATAATATTCTTCCATTTCGTTTTGTGCAATTCTTCTTAATGCAATTTCTTCGGCCAACTATTCCAAAGTTAGAACGCAGAAGCCGAACCTTAGCATCCCTGTGTTCTCATTGTTCCATTGTTCCGCTCATTTACATATCTTGCCATTGTTTCGCGGAATTTTTCCGCGAACACCGACGAAACAGATGCTGGTGAAATCGAACGACGCGATAAATTCGAGAAGCTGCCGAAAGGGTCACGATTCATGCTCAGGCAGTCGAGAACGATCACAGGAGACGAAGAAAGATCGTCGAGCGTATCGTTCACGCTTCTGAACGGCGAACTTCGACCTACTTTATCTGAAAACATCCATTTCTTCGGAGCGGAAGTGGAAGATCGTTGGTCGTGGCTCGTTTCGCTAATAACACTTTTCTGATCGTTTCGTGAGAAACGCGAGAGGAAAATCTCCGCTCGACGAGTCGTCAAAGGCGGTAAAACGTCGGGAAGGTTAAGAATGTTTCAAGATCGTTGCTTGAAATATTCGAGAAACAAGAAGAAACAGTCGCGGCTTGAAAGAATCTTACGATAATCGATTTATTGGAAAAAGTAATTCGCTGGTATTGTTTGAAATTGTCGCTCATTATTACAGCGAATAAATACGGTGCATTGGTATAGTAAAAATAGCTGGCAAAGCACCGTATGTAGTTAAAAATAAACGACAATATAAAGTTTGTAAAGGTCCGTAGAAAATACGACGACGTTATTAAATTTAGGAGTAATCATTTAAATGTAATATCGCATTCGAGAGAACTTTTAACAACGAGGCGCGCGATAAATTCCATTTTAATACGTTTAATTCTAAATAATGGAAAATACCGTCGATATTTCACGCTTCAACTATCACCCGTTTATTCGCTACCTGATAACGTTCAATGTGCCGATTTAATGCGCGTCAATTCTCATGTGGCGGATGATTAATAATCCAAGTGGCAAGTAGGTTGCAGCTCGAGTGCATACGATTCGCCGAGAGAGTCTTCCACGGTTAGGTTCGCGATTCGTCGATCGGAGTAATTGCTGTTTGAAGGTAATTCGAATGCGATGGAAAGCCGATCAGGATTTGAAACCGAAATCGCAACAAGGACTCGATCGATAATTCGGACGAGATGGTACTGATTGATTTAGGATGAAACGCGATGGATATGCAAAGCTCGTTCTCTTGTTCGTCTCAACTCGTCGTTATAGTTATATCCTTGGGTTACTTGCTATCAGCCTTTTGTAATTTATACATTAATAATAATATAATTTCTCTGATATCTCTCAACTTGTAAGAACCTTACAGTCTCGTTACGGCTGCAGTTTGCACAGCATCGTAATTTTTAGCGATGCTTGTAAAAGAAGGAGCACGAGCTTGGCAATCAGCAAGAACGATCGAAACGAGCACGACGTTTGAAAAATAATGTAGAAGTTGAGAAGATAACGAGTGTTGGAAATTCTCGTGGAGAGTCTTGAAAGTCATTTAAGCGTTGTAATTCGAGGGAGAATTGTGCGCTCGAATTTATCATCGTATCATCCATGCTTGTATTTATAAAATTCCTACTAAATCTCTCGGGTCACCCACGAGCACCATAAAACCATACTAAAGGACGAAGAAACAGCGTTATGCGTGTGTAGCATACAGAGAAACGAAAATATAAAAGTTACGCTTGCGAGTCTCCGGAGAACGTAGTTTACGACGATACTACGTAGCGCTATAATATTTCGCTATACTTATACAATACTCCGCGTCGCGTTCCACTAACCCTATTTTTTTAGGATTCTTCCGCCGCTCCGAAAACCGGAAACAACAGCATGCAACGTTCCGACAAACGTATGCACGTTATTGCACACAGGTTTTGACGCAGTTTGGCATGTTCGTCGCGCGCTCGGTTCAAGCACCGAAGTCACGGCGAAAATAAATGTGATTCAGGCCGCGTAAATCTTTCACCCTGCCACCCTCTACGTGAAATTCCCTGCGGCGTTCCTTGGCGATGCCGTGCAAGTCGCCGGAGGATCACGAATTTCTCCGACGATCGATTCAATTTCGAATCGCAAATCGCCATTGCCCGGCAGGATTTCAAACAGAACCGCAGCTGAGGTTTGCTTCG